GGAGAAGGGAAGCAACTTGGCGGCCAGATAAAGTGAGGAGCTGGAAAATAGCAGGAGAACTGGAGTTGGTCTATGGGACAGAAATGCAAATTCATACAACATATTTGTAAAAAGATAAATGATACAGCTACTTAAAGAGCTCAAGTGTACGAAGGATGGATGACGGAGATCCTCTTGGGGTGCACTTGAGACTAGAGTTTGTGGGCAGAGGGCAAGGGGACGGCCAAGAAAACAGTGGATAGACCGTGTACAGGAGAGTAGAGTGGACATGGAGCAAGTGTTGGACTGGCAAGTCCAGGAAAGGCTGGGAAAGGGGGAAAAGAACACTTAAAGAGCTTATATCCATAGTAATGAACATGGTATGAACCTAGTGAAGGAACAATAATCCACACCGTGTAGAGTCAAGCACAGGAGTTTATTACGCACAGCGCTGGCGGAGTGTCACTTTGCTTATTAGGCTCAGAGACACTTCAAAACAATTAGTTACAATAGATTATATATGGCGCTCATTGGGTGGAGAGAAGCGACAGGAATGGGTTTTCCCAAACCCCTGGATAGGTTCTAACAGCAAGACAAGATAAGAACAATAAGCCAATGGTCTAAAAGATTACATAATGGTTCCGCCCATGATCCAGATTAACATATTGCTGACACACAGGTAATTACCCCCAAACAATGTCTATTAAAGTGTATAGGTTAAATCCTAATTTGGGGATCCAGGGGAATGAGGTAGCAGCTCTCTCGGTTGACCAACAGGTACATTCCTAGAGATTTAAAGCAAAAAAGCAGTAATTAGTACTTAACAATTTCACAAGTTTACCCTGGCATTTCTGTGGGCTAGGACTGGCGTACATCTGTGAGGGGAGGGTGTCATAACTCATGTCAATCATATTAGGCCTCTCCCCGAACTTTGTCTAGGATCTGAGGGGTATTGTACCACTATCTCCTCCCTGCATTAGGGAGTAACCGTGAGGCCTTTCTCAGTGTTTAATGTGTCTATAACTCATGATAAGGATGCCCAGGCCCGGCTCCAGGGTTTTTGCCGCCTCAAGAGGCGGGAAAAAAAAAGCCACGATCGCGATAGCTCCACCGTGGTGCTTTCTTCTTTGGCGGCACTTCGGTGGCAGGTCCTTCCCTCCGAGAGGGACCAAGGGACCCACCACCGAATTGCCGCCAAAGAGCCTGACATGCCGCCCCTTCCCCTTGGCCGCCCCAAGCTGAGCTGGTGCCTGGAGCCTGCCCTGAGGACGCCCAATTACATTTGGAGTTATGCTGACTCCGCTCACTGACTTGAAACGCACAAGGTTATCTATTTACCCCAGCTTCCTCTGAGCTATGTATTGTTCTCTATTAGCCAGCCCCCATAGCCCAAGCCAAGCTCTGGACTCCAGGCCTATATTGAAACTTTCTTAGCAGAAACTGTAGTTAAGATCTTACATCCATAGCTAATGGATTCTGACCCTTCACCTACATAGAGAGGATCCTCCCTGTAGCATTGAGAACATTTTTCATTCTATCCAGATTCAGCTTGTGACTGAACAGACACTTTGGCCCTGGAGTACCTCGATATCTGATTTTTTCCCATGTATATTTCCCATCTGTTCAGATTACACCTTCCCTCAGCAGAGAAAGGTGCTGATTTGGTGAGTTTAACCATTTTATAGCATGGACAATTAAATAGCTCCAGATCCTCTCCACAGCAACTTCTTTCCCAGAGCCTGATACAATGACATCAATAATATTATCTTAAGTATCTGATTTCAGTGTATTCCATTTAGCCCATTGATTTCCAATGAGCGAGTGATTAATTTCTAAGTGTGTAATTAAAAATCTAAATTCACATTTGTTGGTTTGTATTAAAAAAAGCCCATAATCTAACTATCCCTCCTTTATTTCTGACCTCTCTCCTACCCTACTTGCTCCTGCTTTGGTCTTCCACCCCAATCTCCTGAGCTATGGTAGGCCTCATAGTGACCTGCTTTTCACCATACGCAATAACATACTGCAGAGGGCCAGACCGAGAGAAGGGACAATAGCACGTAAAGCAGCTTGCTCTGTGGGATAGAGGTGCAGTGGTCCTATCTCTTGTGGTTTATCTAGAGCAGTGGTCCCCAAACTTTTCCGTGGGGCGGGCGCCCGGACGATTAGCCGCCGAGGACCGTGGCCACCGGACAAGCAGCCACCGAAATGCCGCTGTGAAGCGGCAACATCAAGAGGCGTCGCCGCCGAAATGCTGCCAAAAATCGGCGGCATTTCGGCGGTAGCGCTTCTTGACGTTGCCGCTTCTTGGCAGCATTTCGGCAGCTGCTTTTCCCAGTCTCCCGTATGTGCTCCCCTTGCAGCTGTTCTGCCTGGTCCTCCCTTCAGGCTCTTCCACCCTTTCAGCTCCCCTCTGCAACCCCTTGTCTCCTGCCTTGTTCCTCCAGTCACTCCCTGCTTCTATGTGCTACCCCCCTCCGATAACCCCCCAGGCCTTGCCTGCCCTCTCTGCCAGGGTCTCTACCTCCTGTCCAGCACCTACTCCTTATTTCCCATGCTCCACTTCCCTTCTGCCCCCTGGCACCAGTTATCTCTCTGCCCCTCCTCCACGACCTGGTTCCCTTCCCGCTTCTGCCTATCTAGCACTGATATCTGGTCCTCTGTCCCCACTTTCTTGGGGCTGTCTTTTACTGGCAGCTCAGGAAAGTGGGGGTCAAATGCTCTGTGACTACCAGTAGGAACAGCCTTGGGCTACATGCCAGCTTGTCTGCCTAGGCTCTCAGCTCCACTCACAGCTCCCCGCTGGGAGCCCAGGTGTTGCCCCAAGGCTCTCGGCCCCCCACTCCCTGCCAGGAGCCCAGGTGCTGCCCGAGGCTCCCCACGCCCTGCTGAGAGCATGGCAGCCACTGGGTGGGGAGCAGAGACCTGGGGGGCAGCCCCCAGGCTTCGGGCAAGAAGCGGGGATCTGGGAGCCTTGGGGCAGCACCCGGGCTCCTGGCAGGAGCCTCGGTGCACCAGGGCTACCAGTGGGGTATGGGGAGCCAGGAGCCCAGGGGCAGCCCAGCTGGGAGCAGGGAGCCAGGAACCCAGGCAATAGCCTGGTTGGGAGTGGGGAGTCAGGTGGGTGCAGCCTGGCACTGAGTGGGGAGCCTGGCAGGTGCAGCCCGGCTTGGAGTGGGGAAGCCGTGCAGTAGCCCAGCGGGGAGCCCGGCAGCCAGGCTCTAGCTGGAGCCCCCAACCCATGCCGCTTTCTTGTCAATTTCACAGCTCTATCAGGGAGCCTGGACATTGACAAGAAGGACAGCCAACTGCCCATGTAAGTAATGTGCAGTGTCTGCATAGCAGTAACTACATGGACATAAGCCCTAGGCCTCTTATGGGGGTGGCGTTACGATGTCAGTGTAGTAGGTCACTTACATTGGTGGGACAAGTCTGCAGTGTGTACGCTATTGCTGCCTTTCAGAAGCCACCCCACACTGCCCCACATTGACAGTTAAATTGGTGTAAGCGCTCCTGGGGAGGACACACACTGCTGACACAAGGAGCATAGTGTGGAGATGCAAAAGCGATTTAATTACTGCAGTGGGAGTGGCTGTACATCTATGTAATCTAGGTCAACTAATTTTGTAGTGTAGAGTTGCCCCAAGGCATTTATTTCACTCTCATGGTTTTCCAGCTAATCTCCTGTTGTTTGGTGTTATTTTGGGTGGGGTGAGGTGTTACGATTTTTGCTCTCTTGGGAGTGACAGTACAGGATTCCAGGGAGCAGTGGCGAAGCCCCCAGCACCCTCCAGTAAGTGGAGAGAACTGGATGGGAGAATATAGCGGGGTAGCTGCTATTAGGGCTTGGCTACACACGGAGTTATTCAGGACCAGCTGAAGCTTCTTTGCTCAAGGTCCTGCAGGGGGTCTGTGGTAGACCAGGGACTTGCACTCAGATCTCCCATGTCCCCCGTGCCCTAAGCACTGGACCCTCCTTCAGGTCCAACTATTACTGTGGCTTTGAGCAGTGCTGCGGCACAAGTGCTCCAACAGCACCCCATCCGTCAGCATGCCCCTCAGCACACCCCAATTCTGGGGGCTTACCAAGGGCCAGCTGAGTGATTTACAGCAGCTCAAACCACCCTAAAGGGGACACAGCAGAGGCCCAAATTGGGCCCCTGTGCTTGAACCATTTTCCTGGCTACAGTTGCCCAAAACCAAGAGGGGGAGAAAATCGCCCAGGAGCCCCGTGGGAGCTTTGGTCTGAGTGGCAGGGGATGGGGCAGGCCAGGGGGCTGTGAGTGGCCTTTAGTAGGGAAGGGGGCAAAGGAGCAGAACGGAGGGAAAAGGGAACGTTTCTCTCCTGTCTGGGGAAGTGAGGGTTAAAACCAAAGAGCCGGTTCTGGAGAGGAGGACTAGAAAGTCCTGCCCAGGGGGACTTCAGCGACCTGGAACGTCCTGTTCCCTGCAGCCCGCCGTGCACATGGCACCTGGCGCCGCACAGCTACAGCCCCGCACCCCCGGGCGTTCACACTGAGCGACCCGCTCCTGCAGCTTCCCCCAGCCACACGGGTGAGCCGGGCAGGGGGGCTCGGTAATGCGGCGGGAGGGGACACAGCAGGGCGGGGGCCCAGGAGGGGAAATCACTGCCTGTAGGAAGTGACCGCAACAAAGGTGGAGCTGGAGTCTGGATTTGGGACTGACTCGGGGAAGGAGAACGAATCAGGGGCCAGGGCCCCTCATCCTGAAGGCGCCCAGATCAGGGAGTGCCCCTGCAGGATTTCTCCCCCACCTCCCAGCTGGACAGCTGAGGGACAGCATGGGGCGGTGGGGTGTCTCTGCGGATTTCCCCCCAGCTCAGGGGCAGCATGTGGGGAGCTGTACAGGGGTCCTCAGGCTCAGGCACTGCCGGATGATCTTTAGCAAAACCGAGTACTCCGCCTACCAGGATTTCAGAAAAACGTGGAAGGGAGATTGGGGAAGACTGGTGAATGCTAAGGGAAGGGATTTAAAATGAAATTTGGAGGCGGGAGATGATGGGAGAGGGCTGGGGTCAAAGGAAGAGAGTTATGGTGATGCAAGTACATTTTTTTGCAATGGGCACACTTGATTTTTTTTTTAACAAAAGAAATAAACTGCAAAACAACCCCCCCTCCCAATTAAAAACTATTCTGAAATGTTGCATAAATGGTGGAACTAATCAGAAATTATAAGCCTTTACCAGATCAAAATAAAAAGCAGAAAGTGAGACCTTACATACCTAACTTAGGGTTTGTCTAAACACAAAAGTTGTGTCGCTTTTACCTACATCCCTATACTGTAGTTTTAAAGTGGCACAACCCCCCAATGTGGACACAGATATACTTATATAAAAGTGCTTATGCGGGTATAGCTCATTCCAGTATTGAAAGGCAGAGTGGATAGAAGTTGATTTGTTTTACATTAAAAAAATTGGATTTTTTTCATTTAAATATATATTTGTTTTTAAAAATAAACCTGTTTTAAAATTAAATTTGAAAATTATGACAAGTTATGTTAAGGCCTAAACTTGCTAGAAACTATTTAAATAAATGTGCTGCATCAGAGAACTCTCCTCAAATTTGAATGAGTTAAAGGGTGCTGCTAGTTTAATGATGCACATCGTCGGGGGAAACATCTTTAACTTTTGAGGTCAGGACAAGCTTTATAAATATGTAACAAAGTCCTGTACTGCATTAAGTAAGAACCTGTATCATTTTCCATTTTTACAATGCAATGAAAGTTGGTAATCACATTTTTCCAAATATAAGTACTTCAGAGGTTTTTGTTTGTTCAGAAAAAGCTTTTCCTTCAATTCCTTTTGGTTTCAGTTTAGCTAGCAGGTGTAGAGAGACTATTTCCTTCATTTGGACTAGTTCATTCAAAGTTGAGAAATTGCTTGGGATTTGAAAAAGAAGGAAAGTTGGGTTCCTCTTCCAAGCTATGAATAAAAACCACATGCATAAGATGAGATTTACTCATTCTAAAAACATGAATGCTACTGGACCACTTTTTCCAAAGGTATTTTGGCACCTAAAGATGCATAGAAGTGCCTAGAGGGACTTTCAAAAGTGCCTAAGCAGGTGGCTATTATTATTATTATTTTATTTGTTTGTTTTATCCTGACACTGAATAAACTAAAAACAAAAAGATGGCCCTTGCCCTGAGTAGCTTGACAGGCAGTGATCTGAGCACATGAGCATGGTCAATTTTTTTTTTTTTGTGTAGGATCACAGCAAAGGAGAGTTTTGAGGAGAGCTTTGAAGGATGCTTCGAACCTCCGGGACACTCAGTTAAGAGCATCAAAGGTGTGCGGAGAGGCAGGGGTGGGACAGGTGGTAGCTTGCCTGGCAGCTGACTGCCAGCTCAATGTCAATGAGAGTTAGGAACCTAACCTGGTTAGGCAGTTTTGAAAATTCCTGTAGGCATCTAAATACCTTGTTGGATTTTCATCTGGCTTTGGTCACTGGCCTCTCCCAATTCCTCCTCAAATACTTTCCTATTGTTTTATAGTAATAAATGCCCAGATGTGTGCTGAGCACTTCACAGGAATGTGTAAAAGCCAGGTCCCTGCCTTGAATAGCTCACAGTACTGCACCACCAGTCAGTGGGAGCTCTGTCACTGATCTCTGTGTGTGTAGGATCACACTTCTGGGTCCCAGTCCTGCCAAAGAATCGGCAAGGATGAACCCTGATGCCTGTTCAGGGTCGTGACTAAGGGTATGTCTATACTACCCGCTGGATCGGCGGACAGTGATCGATCCAGCAGGGGGTCAATTTATCGCATCTAGACTAGACGCGATAAATCGACCCCTGAGCGCTCTCCTGTTGACTTCTGTACTCCACCGCCGCGAGAGGCACAGGCAGAGTCGACAGGGGAGCGGCAGCAGTCGACTCACCGCAGTGAAGACACCGCGGTGAGTAGGTTTAAGTACATCGACTTCAGCTACGTTATTCACATAGCTGAAGTTGCGTAACTTAGATCGATCCCCCTGCCTCCCAGTGTAGACCAGGGCTAAGTCAATAGGACTCCATCCAGACGCAATGCTCTGCCTGTACTGATTCCTAGGCAGAATTGGGGCCAAAATGTTCTCACTTGTCAGTCTTGTGAATCATATCATTCCCCAGAAAGGGGACAGGTCAGGAAAGACAGACTCACAGTGATAAGACTTAAGGTTAGGCACCAGGTTTCCTCTGTGTGGGGCTTTTGGGCATACTCTCCCTCATTAATCACATCTGATTGTTATTGAGGTTCATTGCCCCTGTTTTCTTTCCCAGGACCGGGATTTTTGACTGCTAGGGGTGAAGTGACCTCTTAGAGGGAACAAGGATAAAAACCTTGCGTCTTTGATCTCCGGAGCTCTGAGAAAATGGAGAGCCTTAGAGGCCCCTATATAGGTAAGACCTGTTTTAAAATAAATTTACATAATTAATTAGCCAATTTTAAAGCTGGAATTCAAACACAGCTCATGAGTAAGGCTAAGATTTTGTCATGGTTATTTTTAGTAAAAGGCATGGACAGGTCACAGGCAACAAACAAATTCACAGAGCCCGTGACTTTTATTAAAAATAACCATACAAGCCGCAGGGCAGAGGTTCACAGCCCCAGCGGCAGCCCCCACCGTGGGACAGGGGCGCACGGTCCCGGTGGTGGCCCCCAGCGCAAGCGGCGGGGCACAGCCCCGATGGCGGCCCCCGCAGTGGGGCTATGTGGGGAGCATAGCTCCGGCTGAAGCTGCTGACAGCTGAAGCTGAAGAAGTCACAAAGGTCCGGTAAAGTCACAGAATCCGTGACCTCCGTGACTAAATCGTAGCCTGTCTCATGAGTTCTCATATCAGTCTCATTTTGTGATCTCATAGGTTTTGCTATAGTAGAAGTGCATTGTTAGGCTCTCCGCAGGAATCACCTATACATTGGTATGCCAAGCACTCTACTTTCTTGGGATTCGTCTGCCTGTTCTAAAAACTTGAGTCTGCCCTATATAAAATCCAGAATATTTGTCCAACTGTCTTAATACCCTGAATGTTGAGGAGGAGAAGAAATAAACAAGTTTAAAAAATCAGAGCCTAAAGCTTAGGCTCCTAAGTGACTTACAAAGAAAAGGTGCCCAATGAGACATGTTCCCAAATCACTTAGGCTCCAAAGTCCATATTGAGACATACGAGTGGGGATTTTTATAAAGCACATATCTTTTTGACTCCTCTTTGGAAAGATTTGGCCAATATTTTCTGGTTATTCACACCACATATTTTCTCTTTATTATGGAGGCTTTGTAGCAGATACCTGGCTAATATATGGTTTTCCACTTAAAGTGGAGTTCAGATCCCTTATAAAACAAAATCTCACCCTTGTCATGACCCAAATTATACCGTTTGAATCAGAATAAGCTTGAATTTTCAATATACTTTCCATTCTCTAAAAATGTCTAATTTGAAAAGTTTAACCCACTTTAAAATCACTAACTTCGTAATTTTTAAAATAAAGCAGTCTTAGGTTTTGTTTTTTCCCCCCACCAGGTCCTCTTACTGCACACTGCCAACATTTACACACTTGGTATTTCATGCACTGTGAAGCAGACAATATTCCAACCTTTGGAAATTACAAACAGTGGGAAATTATTAGGTGAGGTATGGGTGGCAAGATGTGACATGATGTTGGTGTGGATAGTAATGTTGCTCTAATTGGTGATTTTTCCTGATTTCCCCCCCCCCCAAGTGATTGCATTGACAGGAAACGCACTAGAGCACCCGTAGCACCGAGTTAAAAGTTTTTTGTATTGTTCAAAAGGTAGCTCAATCCCCTGATGTGGGGGAGAGGCAAAGTCCACTGTTATCTTGGGTTAAAAACAAATTTTGCCCCAATAAGCTGGGGAGACTAGATCCCCATGTAGCAGGAGATGCTGATGGCAAACTGCTCCTCTGAGTTTCCCTGCTTATGATGGACTTTTCTTCTCTTCCACATCAGCAGCCTGAGATGCTTTTTGCAAAACAAGTCATGCTAAAAATGGTCCTCAATAGTCTGGAGGGAGAGAGCGGAAGGTCCCACAGTCCATTTCCCCTCCCCAGTCTCTCCTCACACCCATTTACTTTCCCTTTCATCCTCATACCTTTCCCCACCTCACTCTCTTTCACTCTGTTCCTCCTCCCAACTCTTTCTTCCATGTCCCTCTCCTCACTCCCTGTTCCTGTCTGGGGAAGGATTGTGCTGGGGCTGGATGCAAAGCTTATAGTCTTAGGCCTGATCTACACCTCACACTTAGGTCAACCTAGCTACATCACTCAGAGCTGTGAAAATTGTTATGCCCTGTGCAATGTAGTTAGCTCGACCTAACTCCCACTTTAGACACAGCTAGGTGGATGGAAGGATTCTTCCCTCGACCTAGCTACCTCCTCTAGAGGGGGTGGATTTATTACAGCGATGGCGAAACCCCTTCCGTCACTGTAGTGAATGTTTGCACTACAGTGGCATAACTGCAGCGCCGCAGCTGTGCCAGTGTAGCACTTGTAGTGTGCAGACCTTAAGCTCATACCCTTAAGCTTAGTGGCTTACTTGTAACACACCCTTTATCCTTCCCTGAGATTGCCTTTCTCCTGAGCACAGGCAATGAGTGAGTGTCTGGATTCTCTCTTTACTTCCCTAGATGACGTGATTGCGAGAGAAAGTGAAGAGGAGAATCCTCAGCTGAAGCTAGACACAGAAAAGAAACTAGACACACATGCCGGCCCCATTAACTGTCGGAGGCCACGTGGCAGAGAAAATCACTATCAATGTACAGAATGTAGGAAAAGCTTCAGTGTTCATTCGGCGCTGATCAAACACCAGAGAATCCACACCGGAGAGAAACCCTATCAGTGCAGTGAATGTGGGAAAACCTTCAGTGTAAGCTCGACGCTGGTTACTCATCAGAGGATCCATACGGGGGAGAGGCCCTACAAATGCGTGCAGTGTGGGAAGAGCTTCAATCAAAGCTCACACCTCACTCAGCATCAGAAGATCCACAAGGGAGAGAAGCCATGTACATGTACTGAATCTGGAGAAGGCTTTACTGACAGCTCAACGTGCGTGAAACATCCAGGACTGCATGCTGGAGTGGGGCCCTATAAATGCGCTGAATGTGGGAAAAGCTTCAATCGGAGCTCCACTCTCTACAACCACAACAGGATCCACACGGGAGAGAAACGCTACAAATGTGATGAGTGTGGGAAAAGCTTCAGTGTGAGCTCCAACCTCATCAGGCATCAGAAAATCCACACAGAGCAGAGACCCTATAAGTGTCTTGAATGTCGTAAGAGCTTCAGTCTGAGCTCAGATCTGGAAGCGCATCAGAGGCTTCACCTGGGAGAGAAACCCCACAAATGTTCTGAGTGCGAGAAAAGCTTTGATCAGGAGTCGCAGCTCCTGAAACATCAGCGAGTTCACGCTGGGGAAAACTCGTATGAATGTGTGGAGTGTGGGAAGAGCTTTAGTAGGAAGGGGAACCTCCTGAGACACCAGGAGATCCACACTGGGGACAAACCCTACCAGTGTAATGAATGTGGGAAAAGCTTCAGCCGGAGTTCGTCGCTCATGCAGCATCAGCGGATCCACACTGGAGAGAAACCCTACAGCTGCATCGAATGTGGCAAGAACTTCAGCTTTAGCTCTCAGCTCACCACCCACCAGCGGATCCACACAGGGGAGCGGCCCTACAAATGTATCGAGTGTGGGAAAAGCTTTGTGGATAGCTCGGGTCTCATTCAGCATCGGAGAATTCACACGGGAGAGAAGCCCTACCAATGCACTGAGTGTGGGAAGAGCTTCCGGCAGAACTCGGTGCTGATTCAACACCGGAGAACCCACACTGGTGACAAGCCCTTCGAGTGCGGGGAGTGTGGGGAACGCTTTAGCCAGAGCTCCACGCTGATCACACATCAAAGGATTCACACTGGGGAGAGGCCCTACCACTGCAGCGAGTGCGGGAAGAGCTTCAGCGAGAGTTCGCACCTCACGCAGCATAGGAGAATCCACACGGGGGACAAGCCCTACAAGTGCGGTGAGTGTGGGAAGAGCTTCATTCAGAGCTCGCAGCTCACCACCCACCAGAGGATCCACACAGGAGACAAACCCTACCAGTGCCACACCTGTGGGAAGAGCTTCAGTGACAGCTCGGCACTCACCCAGCATCAGAGAGTCCACACCGGGGAGCGACCGTACCAGTGCACGGAATGTGGGAGGAGCTTCAGCCAGAGCTCGGCCCTGGTGCAGCACTGGAGGATCCACACTGGAGATAAGCCCTATGAGTGCACCGAGTGCGGGAAAACTTTCAGCCAGAGCGCAGGGCTCACTCAGCACCGGAGCACCCATGCGGGAGAGAGACACTGAGACAGGGACCCATGGGCCATGTGGCACTCTGTGCCCGTGCTGTCAGCAGTGGCTCTTTGCTGTGCTGAATGATGCAACAAAGCGGAAGCAGTGCTGCAATGTTAATTGATCATGAAACTATTGACTCGCAATCAACCTCTTAATTAAAATCCTCCTAAAAATGCATCGGGCATATTGTGATGCCGAGAAAGCTAACTCTTCCCCCACACCTGGCCTCCAAACATAAGAGGATGTTGTTATAAATTTTTAAGCCGAATCTTAGGGGAACTTAGCAAGAGCTTCTGTTACAAAGGCTTCTGGTACAAAGGCTTAGCTAGATAATGTCCCCAGCACAACACGAGGAACACTGTTCATAATAGCTTGATTCAGCTTTGCCCTTCCCTTCTCGGCCTGTGACTGAACAGTGGGAGCAGCAGGTGGTGCATGAAGAACACCTATTTCATGTGCCAGTGACCTTCAAGGAGGTGGCCATCTATTTCACCTAGGAGGCGTGGGCTCTTCTGAACAAAAGGCAGAGGACGCTCTGAGGGGATCTGCATTATTAGCCATTAGAGGACCTACATGGTGTTGAAATGCTATCAGTATACTAAATAGGGGGCATTTCAGTGGCAGCTCAAATCTCATAAGTCAAGAGAATCTACATGGATGAGAAACCCTATTGTAAATGGACAGGGCATATGTGGGGAAAATTTTCTGCCATAGCAAAGTCCTTTTATCTGACCTACAGAATGATGAGTTCCATGCCCATTGTGTCGTACAGGAGTCAATAGCCAATATGGGTACAGTGGCAGGTGGGTGGGTTTCCTATAGTGTTATATCTAAAACTCAAAGTGATAACTCTAATTTTGAAACATCCATTTATTTGTCATTTCTAAAGCAGGGGACAGCCTGCAGCTCTGAACTTCTTAAATTTGGACAGATCACTGTAAAAATGCTGGAACCCTTCCATCCCCTAGCTTCCATTCATTTTTTTTCACAAGGGCTTTAAGAAGTCTGCATTACATGATGGTGCACTGCTTAAACTTGGAAAGGACTCTGGGCTTATATGCTTTGCAGGTGATAGTTGTGTGTGACTGTGAATGACAGACCTTTGGGTTCATTGCTTTCATACATAAAGCACATGCTACACCATTACATTCAACTTTGTTCTGTCTCACAACCTTAATACCGTGATTTCAGCTTTTGAGTTTTGTACAGGTAACTCTGCTATCTAGTTGGCTAATGACACTTGTATAGCCGGTGATGCATGGAATCTGTGTACCGGGAAATGATTGCTTTCAATAAGTTGTTTGATCAGGAATTAGAAAAGAAAACCTCTGACCTGTGTGCACCTGTATGAAGGGTGCACTATACAAATAAAAGTAAAAAAAAAATCTAGTTTTGTGATCATGGATCACCTGACTCTGCTTGTTCTCAGAGCATTACTGTGGGAGCAGAATTAAGGTGTTTGGGTGACAAATTGTCTGTCTTTCCAAAATTTCAAATGTTTGGATTTCTTATAAAGTTAAACTTGCAGAAGAAAAAATATTGGCTTTTTTCCACTCTTTTGATTTCTTTGAGATGTTTAGAGTCTTTAAAGTAATATATGCTATTAAATTAGAAACACAGACCTTGTCTACCCTGGTGAACAAATAGCTGAGATTTTCACTGGACTGAAGGAGTTAGCCACAGAACACTTATTCGCTTCCGTGGGAGTTGTGTAGCTAACTCTCCTAGTCTGCTTTGAAAATCTAACTCTCCTAGTCTGCTTTGAAAATCTTAATCAGAGAAACCGTGCTACTGAAACTTGATTCACTGAGAAGGGAATTGATGTGTGGGCGTGTGTGTGGAGAGGTTGATTAAAACTCTGCCTTCTGAATTGGGTTTTTGTGTGTATGGTTTGCTTGTTTATTTGAACACCTATTTAGAACTCTGGTGAAAAGGTGCCTTGTTAAGGCACCTTCACATAGGGACTGAGAAAGTCACTAATCCACGTGTGAGGCATCCAAGGAGTCTAATAGGGAAGACTAGATTTGATGATCCCAATACTGTACTTCTAAAGTAAAAAGCAGGTGGGAGACTAAAATCTTCTGGTGCAGAGTATGGGGAATCTATAAAGCTGTCCTTACACATCATAAAGAAGCAGAAAAGGTACAAATCCATTTTTCTTCCATTATAGGTCACCCTTAAGACTAAACTCTGAACTTCTAACACTTGTTTTTTCATAACTACAGTGTTGTAAGTCTTTTTAGTACGTATCAACTTTAATTCCAGTGTAGCAGGGATTTTATGTGTGTAAGTGTGTGGAATGAACACTATATAGTTTTCAGTAACTTAACCCTTTTCTCGCCAGTAGTGTGTGTGTGTGTGTGTGAGTTACGGGACTTGGTTCAAGGTAGCATTAAGGGTCACAATAGGATTGAGGGGTAAAGTGGGTGAGGAAAAGGCACTTTTTGTTGTCTGATACATTCTGTCTTTCGTGGTCCCAGGTGGGTGGTAATACAAAGGGGAAAGTTAATGAAGGTAAGAGACACATAACCCTCTGCAGAAACTGAACGTTTGACACCTGTCAGGAATGGTGTAGTAATTATGTAGTCCTGCCTTGAGTGTTGGGGACAGAGCTAGATGACCTCTCAAGGTCCCTTCCAGTCCTACACTTCTATGATCTCAGAGATGGTGTCAGCACGAAGAAACAGAAGGGTTTTTTTGTACCAGTGTTGGATCCCCAATGGAAAAGATCCTTGACTGTCATGACCAGCTGTAACTGCTGCAATCAGTGGGAGTGGAGATCTTTCCTAGAGACATCACAAAGCAGACTAATTAAACTATTCTAAGAGGGGTTGTGGATATTTGCTCCCACTAAGGACTTGCTTGCTAGGAATTTTGGATTGCCCCTTGCCAGCTGGACAGTGAAACCTTTACTAGGCAATAGGGTTAGCAAGTCTTAGCTTTTATTTTTTATAGCGTGGTGGAATGATGTAGAGCTTGAGGATAAGGAATGGGACAGTTTTTGTTGCACTTATACTATTTCTGTCTTCTCTTAAGCTTGTCTCTTTATCACACTAAGAATATACATCAAAGAGACGTGCTACACAGGGTTTCTAAGGGTGCAATCTCCAATAAAATGGCCTGATCGATGCAGTCAGAAGGCATGAATTTAAGGACATTATTGAACATCCAGTATCCAGATAAACAATAAGATGCATTGACAGCATGTATTTATTTTGGGTGTAAAGGTTGACATTTTCAAAGCAGTGTTAAAATAATGGAAAACACCTTGATAAATCTGACCCTGTTGTGGAAAACTTAAGTCCCTTTTCTATTTTAAGATGACAGCCTGCAAGAAGCCCTTTAGATTCCCCCTTGGTGGGGAAACAGAGCAACACAGAAAGAAAGGTGGAATGGCAGCTGGAGTAGAGAGGCCATTTCAGTGGGTTTATGGGACAGCTTGGTAAATTAGGGCTACCATACGTCCGGGTTTCCCCGGACATGTCTGGCTTTTCGCTCTTTAAATAGCCATCCGGGGGGGGATTTCTAAAAATCTAAAAATGTCCGGGGTTTCCCCACGGTCGGCTATTTATCGACCGAAAAGCGGCTGACAGGGCGGCCGAGCACCGCTCGCACTGGGGCCTCGGCAGCCAAAGCCCCTTCCCGGCTCCCCCCATCCCCTGCAGCCTTAGCACGCTGCCCGGCAGCACTGGGGGGTGGGGCTGTGCGCCTGTGAGGGAACGTGGCGGCGGGGCTGGCAGTGGTGGCCAGAGCCCCTCCCCCACTTTCCCCCCTCTTCCACAGCCTCAGCACACTGCTTGGCAGCGCTCAGGCGGGGTGGGGCGCTCCTTGGGGCACGGAGCCAGACACCTGCTCTAAGCTGAGTGGCACAGTAAGGGGGCTGGGGAGTTGGAGAAGGGGGGCAGTTGGGACAGGGAGCGGGGGGGGGGTTGGATGGGTCGGGGGTTCTGGGGGGGCTGTCAGGGGGCGGGAAGTGGGAGGGAGTGGCTAGGGGGCGGGGCTACCCCCCAATGGAGTGTCCTCTTTTTTGAAAGTTCAGATATGGTATCCCTAGGTAAATAGATAAATTGTGTGGCAATTTGCAGCCCTCAGCCACTCCAGAAATGAACGCTGGCTCGATAGTATCCTTCCTGCAGCCTTGGGGCCACTTCCCATGCTGCCCGGACTTAGCTTCTTTGCCCCTTCTCTAGTCACCCTGTGCCTGAACACTGTTTATCACCAAAGCAGCAGGGCCTGAGTGGGGAACACCTGTTTCATGTGTGCAGTGACATTTGATAAGGTAGCTGCATATCCCACAAGGGAGAAGTGGCTTCGTTTTCAGGTGAAAGGCAGAGGTAGCTCTAGACGGGCAGTAAACATGAGCTTATGCTCTCTGTGCAAAGCCCTCCCGCCGCCCCCCCAAGAAGCTGTCACAGATGTGCCTGAGGCACCTGGATCGGTTCACGTTTCCGTTCGGTCAATCTGATTTCCCTGGTGTCAGCAGCAATGTTGCCTCCAGCCCAGTACTTGCTATACTAGAAAGTTTTGCCAGCCACACTTATGCCAGCTGTCTGCCGCCATAGCAATTTTGCTAAGAAAGAAAGGAATCCTTGTTCATGGTGTAGGTGACCGGGGGGGGGGGGAGGGGGGTTAGACGAGAGCAAGTGACCTCGTTACATCAGTGCCCCCGAGTCATTAAGTTCCCTCTTCCTGAAGCACCAGAGGGCGCATGTTACAGCGATGCACTTGTCATGTGACCGGGGTCTTGCAATTTCCTGCGGTCCTTTTTCCTGCTATATCCAGGGTAGCAAGTGGGTTGTGTCGCAGGCTCCTGGGAACATCCATGGGCGGCTGAAGACAAGCCCGCCCTGGGTACGTATGTACAGACCGAGCGGAAAGCCTTCCTGTAACCTCGGCTTCATGAGCCCGGGCCATATAACGCCTTGTCACAGATGCTTTGGCGGGAGGCTTGGGGGTTGTGTGAATTTCCCGCAGTCCTTACAGGAGGCACTTGCGTTTGTTGTACCCGCGCCTACACAAACTCTACGTGTGGCTGCTGCAGCGAAACTAATTGCGGCGGGCGTTAATGCCTTGATCGCTGGTTTAATGGAGAACAGTAATTGCTGCGGGGTCTCCTGGCAACAAAACCAAACGTTTCAAACCCAGTTAGGCAGCGGGGGGGCCTGATTATTGCCTTGGGGGGAGGAGACCGGAATCCTGTTGGGGAGTTAGAAACAGCCATAGCACTGCCAGCCTCTGTCGGCTACTAACCCCCAACAGAAGAGATGCAGGGACCATTATGAGTGCAGAAAACCTTAGACCCAGGAGGAGAGTGGAACCTCAGACCAGTGGCTCTCACCCATTCCCGACTACTGTAGCCTCTTCAGGAGTCTGATTGGTCTTGCGTACCCCCAAGTTTGACCTCTCTTAAAAACTACTTGCTTACAAAATCAGACATAAAAATACCAGTGTCACAGCTCACTGTTGTTATAAAATAAACCAATTGTAATATAAATATTGTACTTATATTTCAGTGTATAGTATATAGAGCTGTATAAATAAGTCATTGTGTGAAATTTTAGTTTGTACTGACCTTGCTAGTGCTTTTTACATAGCCTGTGGTAAAACTAGGCAAATATCTAGATGAGTTGATGTAGCCCCTGGAAGATCTCTGCATACCCCCAGGGTTACATGTCCCCTGGTTGAGAACCTCTGCTCTAGGCAGCCTCTTGTAAGGTTTGCCTAAAGGGTAAATACCACCCTAGCTGAGACTTGTAAAACCTATTCAGGGGCTAGTGATCAAATCCGCACCTCTCTGCTTGTCAAAGCCCCTACATGGGACGCAATGTGTGACCCGTATTGAGAGGCGTGGAAAATATGTATGGGAGTTCTCCTTTACGGTATGTCTGCACTGCACTGGAGAGTTGGGTTTGTAACATGGGCACCCGAACTAGAGTCAGTTTGCAAAAAAACAGTAGTGAAACCCAGCTAACATAGCTAGAGACCTAGTATAAATAGTTATTTCTGTAGCCTCAGTTGAATGGGTTCTTTGCTGGGGATATAGGCAATAAGACTGAGGGGACACTAAAGTTGTGTGGGGCAGAGAGCGCTTTGGCACTAATGACAGAGAGTCTCCAGGAAGTCAGAGTAGCAGCCGTGTTAGTCTGTATCCGCAAAAAGAAGAACAGGAGGACTTGTGGCACCTTAGAGACTAACAAATTTATTAGAGCATAAGCTTTCGTGGACTATGGCCCGTTTGAAGGGGGTTATAGTCCACGAAAGCTTATGCT